CATCGTTCGTCGTTTAGGAACTATTTGTTCGTGCCTGAGAAGAGTCTGTTTGTGCTGACAGTGTGGCATAGCAGCTGCCGAAAGCAACTTCCCAAGCTTCTCCACATGCTGCTCTTTGATGGAGTAGATCTGTTTGATTTTAAAGGCCTTGGAAGCCTTGGATGTTGCTTGAATGAGTCGACTGCCCTTGGTGGCTTTCAGAGGCTGTGGGGCGCTGCTCTTTAGCAAGCCGATGACGCTGCTTAACTGTCTCGGAGTCGCCATGCCCTCACTTGCTCGTCTGGGGGAGCGACATGGTGCGACGGTGACTCCAGCCATGACTGCACACATGCTTGCTTCGGCTCCATGGCAACGGAAATCATGACAGTCATGATTTCCATTGACATGGAGCCGAAGCAAGCATGTGTGCAGCGTCAGATAGCGTCGTGCAGCGCGAATGAAGTTACAGGCTTGCAAGACGTATGGATTGCTTTGGCACATGTTGCGCCTGTCTCAACTACGGAAGGTCGTTTCGCTGAGCGGCGTCGTGGCCTATACTACCGTCTCCAAGCCCGAGGCCCCAGCATGTGAGGCACGTGCTCATAGCGCCAAATGCTCCAAGGACTGCCAGATACGAAGTTCCTTGCACAGTTAATCACAGGTAACTATTTATTATTAATCTTAACATTATTGTTGTGATCATTATGATGTTTATCATTCTTATGATCATTATTCAATCATGAGTTCAAATGTAGTTCAGGCATAAGTTGTCTCAGAATCACAGGCGAGCCGCTGCACGAGCACGCAGCGAGTCGAAGCCCGCGGGCCTAGGACCTGCTTGCTGCAAGACTGGCGGGTTCTTAGTAGGGAATGAGGGAAGTAGGGCCTTTTAGGGTTTAGGGTTTAGGGTTTAGGGTGTAGAACCCCCTCAAAGGTACATATAGGGCCCTAATTCCCTCATTCCCCGTCTCGAGATTTCAGCTTCACATTCTGTGCGCTAGCCGCCAGCAGTTTGCATTGGGTCGGAGAAGAAATTTTGTATTATACATTATACATTGTACATCACATTTTATAATTTGCACTGTATTGTATTGCATTGTATTGTACATTGTTGTGTTCTGGCTCCTTGCTCGACATGGCTTGGCGCGGACTTGCTTCCCGCATGAAACAGAACGTGCTAATCAACGTGGGTCGCGCTAGGTGATGGTTTCACCGCTTCGACATATAATACAATTATATACAATACCGTAAAGGAACGCAATAGTGCGTGTTGTGCCTGAAAGACCTGGATATGTCCCTGCCGGGGCCCTTGACCACGGCCACCCAACAACCTGAGAAGCCCTAGACCGGCTGAGGGAGTGGCCTTCTCACTACACTGAGCTTCGGGAAGGCGCCAATGAGGACGTCACGTTGTTTTGGGATGTTGTTGCGGTTGAAGTTGGTGTTTGGAGTTTAGGCTTAAGGCAAGAAGCACCCTGGCCATGAGGTGTCATCTGTCACTTGGGATGCTCCCCCGTATACTAGCAGCCCTGAATAGGGTTCATAGTACCCCCTATGATCATCCCTATTGAGGAGCTGTTCGTATAAGGGGCGAACATCCCAATCTGTCACACGGCCCATCTGGTCCATGTTCCGGCTCCCTGGGTAACAGTGCAACACCCCTAGTTCAGGTCTTGGGCCTTCACATGTTTAGGGTTTAGGGTTTAGGGTTTAGGGTTTAGGGTTTAGGGTTTAGGATCCTGTGGCCTAGGGTCCCAAAAAGTAGCCTCTGACCATTGCGGAGTCGCATCATGGCCGCGAGTCGCTGGGGAATGGCTGCTTCTGCTTGCTCCGTACTTGCGGTTCGCGTGTCGGTGTCCTGTGTCTGGAATGGGCACACATGGTAAGTCCAACGCAAGATTAGCATGACCCCTGCGGCACGGAGGACACACACAATCGAAGTCTAAAACGCGAAACGGAGGCAGAAACACGTTCTGTGGATTGACTCATGCGCCTCAGGACTCAGAGAAGCAGCCGGATTTGCAGAGGTGGGACACCCTCGAGAGAAGACCATATCTTGCACCTGCATCGAAAGATGTAGGCGGCCGATGCTTGCTATCACCTGACAGTCCACCGACACCCTGTAACAGGTTGAGCGAAAGCTCGCTTAGCCTGGGCCGGTACGTCCGGCCTTGCTTGAGGAAACTTCACCGCTGCGCTGTGATGCAACCTTGGGAATTCAACATCGAAGTTTTGATGAGTTGAAACGATGGCAGGACCCAGGGCTCAAATAGCCACATTAAAAATGAAGATTTTTCAGCTGCTCAACCTTTATGTGTATGTATGCTTCCTTCTAAGATTGCAGAAAAGTTGCAATAGATTTCTGCACCTTGATGGCGCGGCTCTTTGGCTCGCAGCACAGGGTGAGGCAGGTGAAGCAAGATGAGAGCAGGGGAGCTTCAAATCACCGCTTGCTTTCACGCTTGAACACTAGTCAGCTACTGCAGGTTCACACACTAAGGTATAGATCAGACGAGTGCTAGCCAGGGCAAGGTAGCCGATTTGAGCTGAAGTTGCGCGCATCACCGAACTTGGCATTCAAGAATTGAGAAGCCTGGTCTCGGAGACTCGGAGAGGTAGTCTTTAAAGACCTCTTGCGAGAGCCATGAGCTGCTCTTCGGACCTATCCACACCCAAAAGTGGCTCCGAAAGCCTACAAATCGGCCGGCGCGTTCTCCAGGCAACTCTCATGGTGTTGTTTTCATTTTTTGTTTTGTCTTCTTGTTTGCTTTTTATCTTCTGTGTGACTTGTTGATCATTGCGTGCTTGATGGGCAGTTGCATATAGTCATATATACTTAGAAACGTATGCATGTAGAGAGAGAGAGAGGTGGGGGGGTCACCAAGGCACCGGTTGGTGGTTTACGGTTCTTGCGTGCTGGAAATCTCGAACAGGAGAAGTGTTTTCATGTTCCCCCTCCACCGTGGCCGAGTGCAAGATAGGGCACGGTACGCCAGTACAACAAACCACGGATCCGAAGGATGTAAGAGGAGCAATGATCAGTGTATACCTTGCCCAAGAGCCATTTTTTTTGGTATTTGCGTGTCAGGCAATGCAGCTGCGCCGACAACTATCAATGCAACGCAGCTAAGAGAGCCAGGACGTTTGCATTTGTAAGGCTTGCTCGTTGCCGTATTCCCTAGCCGCTAGTCTAGTTATAGTGATGCTGAGTGGCATTTGTTACTGCTCCTTGGGACCTGGGATCTGCACAGTCCTCAGTGCCTGGAACCGCTGTAGCAGAGCATCTTCGGAGTTGAGTTTGGGAGATTTTGGGAGCACATGGCCATGAAGTATGCTAGAGTTACAGCAAGCCTCACCAAGGCCGGTTCCGCAATGCACACTGCGATGGCAGGACTCACTCGGGGAGTACAGTTGCGACAATTCCGGGACCCTCTGAACCCTAAACCTTGCCAGACGGTTGCTTTTGCCGCCATCGACAAACGGTCCTCTTCGTATTGCCCACACGAAAGCTCGATCGTCATGGCGTCGTGAGCGTGAGAGCAGAGTGGAACCGTCTGCATTTCAAGCAAGAGGCCAACAGACACCTGATGTGAAGGAGCATCCGGTTGTGCACTTTGCGCGTGCGAGGTCGAAGGTGTAATTTGCATCGCTAGGACAGGCTGCTGGTTAGAGTGGCACTTCTACGCTGCCTACCGTAATGAAACAACGACTGCTGGGATGCTCCATGCAACTAGTGCACACACACACACACACGCACTTACTTCGGGACGCGCACACACACATGCACAGAACGCAGCGAGGCATGGGTCCCGGGGAACAGGTGTTTGTGCATGCGTGGGGAGAGCAGAATTCGCAAATTTCCCGCTGAAGTTCTGAAACTGAGACATATTATGTTGCACACGTGTTTTGGTCGGGTATGTTGATGGATGTATACTGTTTTTAAAGTCCGGTACCTATGTATGGACTCTGCTCTGGTGCGCACACATTCATGTAGAAGGCGGTATGGCGGGTGTACTTGGGGATTCTCACTCACACATCATGAGAACTCTCACGGTGATTGGCAATGAGAACCACCTGCAGGTTGGAGCCCAATCCGACAGGTATAAGTGACGGAAAGACAAAGAAGAGAACAAAAGAGCTTTATCAACTGAAGCTTGCCTATTCCTGAGACACACCTACCCTCGAAAGTGAAGAAACCCCCAAGACCCTGAAACAAAGAAGCCCTAAACCCCTAACCGAAAAGTACAGAGACCACCTAAACCCTGAAACAAAGCCACCTAAACCCTGAAACAAAGAAACCCTAAACCCCTAGCCGAAAAGTAAAGAAACCCCCTAAACCCCGAAGCAAGAAAGAGTAAACAAAATGCCGACGGACGTTTGCATTCCTGCAGTGTGGTTGCGAGGCTGCTAGGCAGGTGGGAAAACAAAAACCACATAAAAGCCCCAATGTGAGGACCTGGAGGTGGCCTACCGCACGCCGCACGGGAGAAGGATCACCTTGCACAGGCAGTCTGGCTCTGTGCAAGGCGCCAAGCTGCACACAATTGTAACATCCTTTTTCTTGAAGGTTCATATGGGTAGTTCTAAGTAAGGTAACTAGGGCACTTGTATCTAGAACTGGTCTTAACCTTATTCAGGGCACATGTAGGGCCCTTGCAACCCCACTTAAAGCTACCCATGAACCTTCAAGTAGTTTTTGTTTCGGAGGAGGGTGCTTAACAGCGAAACATTTCAGACAATCGGCGTCGCCACTTGTTCATATGTTTGCACCTTCACATGTGGGCTCGGGAAAGATACGTGCTTGCCATCCGCCGTGCCGAATGTTAGATTTGAGATCTTGGCAAGTGCTAGGTGTTGATCTGCATTTGAGTCGCTCTCCTGTGCATGTAAGTAGATCGTCTTAAGGCAGCGGAAGGAGGATGGTCATGATGTGACAACAGCCTCAATTGACGTGCTGAAACAGTTTACTTCTATGCACCTTTTTCAGTCCTTTTTCAGTCGGCCGGCCTGAAGGCGGAAACATGCTGGCCATCATGGGAGCATCGGGCGCCGGGAAGAGCACCTTGCTGGAAGCCTGGCCAGCGAAGTAAGGCAGTTTTCGATGTTTTTTCCTTGTCCTGTGCGCGGTCATTCTTGCGATTCTAACGAGACTTGCTGCAAGAAAGGACACGCTGACCATGCGCAAGACGCTGGGAGACGTCTCCGGCAGCCAGGTATGCAGAGAGCCTGTTGACAGGCAGCCCAAATTGCATGAATAGCATTGCGCAATTCACACGTCGCCCAGGCAGCGTGTTTATGAACGGGCGGGAGCAAGATGAACGATTCTTCTTCGCGTCCGCCTATGTGGCGCAGGAGGATAATTTGATCCCCACGAATACGGTACCTGCCTCAGTTGGCCGCAAAACACGTCCCACCACCGAACTTCATTTACACGCCAGCCGTTCTGGCATCGCTGTGTGCATCTTCTTATCTAGGGTTAAGGGATCAGAGTTTGGTGCTTGGGCTTGGGTTTCAGCTTGCATCAGTGTGGGTTTGCTGTCTGTGCTATATACAATATGCTCCGCGCACAGCAAGAAAGCTAACTACTTGATTTTAATTGTTCAGGTGCGGGAGACTGTAGAGTTCTACGCCGAGCTGACCATGCCTCGAAGTACACCACTCGCCATGCGCCGCTGGGCGACATTTAGAGTTAGTCCACTGATCTTGGCACATCTTGGTGCCTCTGCCTCCGCACGCCGAATTGAAGGGCTGTGTGCGTGTGTGTGTGTGTGCGCATTTCCTAGTTGCCGGGATCATGCTTCAAGGTTAAATTCTTGTTTGCTGCCTGTGAATGATGCGAACATACTCTGCACGTTTGCTTTTAATATGGCGGTCACCTGTTCTTGTTTGGGTGTCGCCTGGGCTGCTCGGATCACGGCGTGAAGCGCAGTATTGGGAATGGGCGTAGACATGCATAGATGCTGAATGCGCAGATCGGGTCGAGATATCGGAAGCCTTACATAGTATGGCTTGGGACCAACCCTAAAAGGGTCTGTGCCTCGCCTGGCTTGTCCGAGCGTGTGCGATTACAGGGAGCTGGGCGTGTGCAGTGCAAAAAAAGAGGCCTGGGTGCACCCTATAAACCCTACACGGAAAACCCCTAGATGGTTGTTTTTAGGACTGTTGAAGCCTGCTTCTGCAGTGAGTCACCTGCGAGCCACACTGAATGCGTTGCTTGAGAGTTGTCGGTTGTGTGGGCGTTTCACTCTACACCCTAAACCCACAAACCCTAACTTTTGTCTGGTGCCAAAAAAGACCCTTGAACCCTTGAACCCCTAAACCGCAAACCCCGCAGTGTGGCTGGTCTGGTTGGCGGGTGGCAGAAGAAAATCCTAAAGCCCCCACAGGTAGTCCTCCGGATAGGCAAGGGCACTTCTCCGACCTCTGAAGCCAACATATTCGTAACCTGGCTATAATCCCTTAAAGGGTATATAGAAAGGGCCAAAGTTCCCTCATTCCCTACTAAGAACAAGGGGGGCAAATGGGAGAGGATCGGAGCTTCGCCCAGTTTTGCCGCTTTTCGCAAGGTCAGAGGGCAGTCTCAGAACGACTCCAGGCTGTTGGCCTGTCCGACAAGGAGAGAGCTCAATGTGCAAGCGGTTTAGGGTTTAAGGTTTAGGGCTTAGGGCTCAATGTGTAAGCGTTTTATTGGGGGTCAAAAGGGCTGTTTATGGGTTTGAGAATGGGTTTTCATCATGAGTTCTTGATGTGGGTTGCTTCTACGATGGTTGTAGTTTCGAGATCCTGTCAAAGGTTCGTCAGCTAAGCAGGTGGCAAGGGCCGAGCTTGTGCCACCTCAAGTGAGGGAGTTCTTGTTCGACAGGAGAACAAGTTCGTCGGGGGCAAGCTGCCTGGTGGGTTCTCCATCCGCGGACTGTCTGGAGGTGAGAGGCGGAGGCTCAACATTGCTGCAGGCTGGGGGCTCCATCCGAGCAGCCATGCAGCACGGTAACACTGACCTGCCACTGCTTGCTGTCTAATGCAACTGCCAGCCCCCCTCGGGTTCTGAAGACTCGCAAGCTACAAGAAATGTCGAAGTTACGAGGACAGCAGACTTCAGATGTCGAACGCAGCAGGCTGATTGTGCGAAGCGACCCTTTTTGCCAGGTGTTGTCCACTCACCTCCGCTGGTGTTCCTAGATGAGCCAACAAGCGGGCTGGATGCCTTCTCTGCCTTGTGCGTGATGGAAAGCACTTCGGGCGGCAAAGCATCCGGCGACTTTTTGAGTTGCCGGTTAGCTCCGAAGTGCAGCTTGAAGGTTGACGAGGAAGGGTGCGAACAGGATCTGTCGCTTCATGCGCGCGTCAGAAGGATAAGATGCATAAGGATTACGCAACACGCATAAGGGTTATGCAACAACGAGAGTATGAGAGTAGAGGTCACCAAAAAGCACCCCGCGCTGCTTTCCAGGCATCCGGGCCTTGATCAGGGCCGGCCATGCCGTTGCCTGCACAATCCACCAGCCCCGGCAGGCCATTGTAGCGCCTTGTCTGAGCTGGCTGGGATCGTGGACAATTATTGTTTTTGAAAAATCGAAGTTGCTGCAATCCTGATGTATGATTAGGCAATGCGGGTCAAACCTCATCAATTCGGCGTCTGCCGAAGCACTCAGGACATGTTCGACAAAGTCTTGTTCCTGGCCTGCGGACGCCTCGTCTACAACGGGCCCCCGAACGGCTTGAAGAAATGGCTTACCGAGGCAAACCTTTGGGACCCGGAGCGTGCGATATCCACGTCCATCACGGACATGGTCGCTTGACGGCATACAGCAGCATGCCACCTTGGCCAAGAGACCACGATAATGCTCGCATCTTGCATAAGCTGATGAGAATAGTCTTATCTTAATACATCATTCTAGAACGATTTGACTCACGGCCTTTGACTCAATTGCCCATCCAACGCTCACAAGAGAAGAACGAACCCCAGAGCGTCTAAACACGGGCACACGAGCAGGGGCTGCGCTTGGTACAGTCGAATCCGTGTGAGTTTGTGTGGGCATCTATCAGCCCACGGCTCCGAAAATAAGGTCTTGGACTGTATCACCGTGGGCTTTGACAAGAGCGACGCCTGGCGGCATCTGTGCCTGCGTGCATGCGTGTGTGTTGGTTACAAGGCAAAGTGCATGGATTTGCCTTGCCGGCAGTATACAGTTCACAGCATACACTCTGGCAGCATTGTGGATTTCTGAGCCGAAGTAGCATCGGCGTTGAAGGTGTAGGATCACGGGCCCACGGATGCTGTACTGAGCTGTACTGATCCCTGAGGAATCCATATATGGTTCCCGGACGCTGAGAGACGAGGAGGACGTTGAGCGACTGGCCGAGTCCTACCTCCACTCGGTTTCTGGACGAGTCTTGGTGTGAGCGCGTATACACCGTTTCTTCCTCAGAGTTGTACACGCTTGCGCGAGGGGGGAGCGGGCTTCTCGAGCGTTGTTGTGTTTCTTGGCGTGGCCCTGAAGCCTGGAGCCCCGTCAGCCCTGCAAGCGGTTCTGGCAGGTTCCACAGGGCGGGGGTTGGAGAAGGGGAGGAAGAACCGGTCTGCTTGTTCTAGATAGAGGCCTCTCGGGCAAAAGCCGAGGCGAGTTTTTCTGTTCATTTGTAGACTATTTTCCACAACATTAGAGGGCTCTAGTTTTCTTTGTTTTCTTGGCACAGGGCCCCTACAAACGCACCGAACGCCCCCCCTGATGTTTGATCCGCTGTCCAGGAACCATCACCCCGGACGCTTCTCCACAGAGCTTCATGATGCTGAATTCTCGGCCGAACGTGCTACACCAGTACCTATATCTGTCTTGGGAATTATGTTTACTTTTGTTTATATAAAACCCAAGAGTGTATTAAGAATATTCTTTTTTATTCAGGTTCAAAGGGGAGTATAGGTACTGGACTCTCCAGCGTCAGCAACTTCGGAGCTCCCTACGGAGCCCTGGGACCCTGGCGGCGCGGATCGGCCTTCACTTTCTCATCGGCTTGCTGATGGGATCCGTGTCTCGGTAGGCCCCTGGGAGATTTTATATTTTTCCCCCTTTTGGGTTTAAGAGGATCAGATTCATAATTTTCCCCACCTTTTGTTGGGTTCAAGAGGATCAAGTTCAGGAATATTTTTGCAGAGGGTTTGAAGGGCCATCCTAGGTGTATTTTCAGATGAACCGCAGCTACATCCTTGCTCCGGAAGGAGTCTGGCAACTGCTCCCGCTTCCGCTTCAGCGACACTCCACCATGCCCGAAGACCGCGTGGGAGTTCTATTTCTCCTAGCTTTGGCACAAACAGTGACTCCAAACTGCGCCATGCCATTCTTCATAGATGATCGCCAGTACTATACCAAAGAGTCGGCTGCACGCTTGTACGGAGCTTTGCCCTATCATCTCGCAAACGTCGTGAGCGAAGCCGTGGTGTGTGCTGTGAATGGTGTGCTCGCCTCGGGAATCGCCACCTTGATGGCAGGCCTACCCCTCAGTGGCAACTGGTACTCCACCATGTCCTTCCTAGTTTCGCACCACATGTGCGCCTCAGCGCTGGTGCAGATGTGCGCTCGGCTGGCTCCGAACCAGGATGTTGCGTTTGTCCTGAGCGCTGGATACATCATCGCGCCTTGTCGGCCCATAAAGCTGTGTAAGTACCAAACACAAGGAGCTTGCCCGCTGCACACATGGGGTTGTGCGTGGTAGTAACCTGCTGGTAGTACTGCCTCAACCTGACTGCCGTAGACCTATGCATCAGTTCTGAACCGTTCCCTTTCTGCATTCCCCATGAGTTCGTTGCAAAGTAGAATCTGAGCAAAGAGTTTGCTTTAGCTTAGAGGGTCATGCAACGCAGCGGATGCGGCAACTGATGTGTGATATTGCAATGTGATTGGCCGCTAGCCATTGGGGCCAACAATTTCCCCCCTACGATCGCAGTTGTACCTCGCCCCAGGGGTTCTCAAGAGACCCTCTATATATCGAGCATGCCATCATCTAATCCGGGTGGTCAGACCCAGCACACTGAGGTGTGCATGCTCTTCGCCAATGTTGTGGTAAAGGTTGCCACGGTGACGCCTTTGCTGGCGTGGATGCGCTGGTGCACCTTCCTTTACTTTTCAATGGCAGGGCTCATCGAGGCAGAGTTTGCTGGCAACTTCCTCGCACGACAGCAGAATCAGTTGTTTCATGCTGTTCTAATTAGGGTTTAGGGTTTGGGGTTCAGGTTTTGCATCTCTTTTGTTCACCATCAAAATAAGTTTCCGGACATGTCCCTGTGGATCTGCTTTGCAGGCACGAAGGAAGAAGACTTCCCGGCAGGAGACCGTGTGGTTGACACGTTTCGCATTCACTGGGGTGAGGGCCAAGATGCCTACACTCTGAGTGAGGGAGACTGCTTCCTCTGCTTGTGGTGCTTTTATCTGCTCTTCTCAATGGTGGGCTATTTCGCGTTGAAGTTTGGAAGCAGGTCTCAGGTATGAGTTTCATGGACCCCTGTTTCTCCTGCAGTTATGAAAAAAGTCTGCGCCGGCGGATTGAAGTGATGCGCCTGGGCAGTGAAGCCATCTTTCGTATGGAAACCCGGCAGACGCCATTAGACAAACCCGGAGCAGCAGGCTGTCGTAGCTCGAGTTTGTTGTTGATCTGCCATAGAGTCTCGTTTGTTGATTGCCCCTGAAGAAGGACGCATACAAGATTAGAGCCTGCGAGACTGCTAATTGCGATTGTGAGCTGTGCAGTGCCCCCGCCAACTCGCACCAGCAAGCCCTTATGTGATCACCGAAAGGAACGTGTTTGCCAGGTCTGGCGGCGAAGAGAACGGCCCTACGTCCAGCTCCCAGACTTTCAGCGAGTTCGACCGGCATGTGCTCGCCATGCGCACTCAGGTGTTACTAGGCCCCAGGCATGACTGACCACAGGATTTGAAAAAAAAACAACCTGAGGACATGGTGGTGGGAAGTCACGGACGACAGCTCCATTGGCATTGCGCCGCAGGCCATTTCAACTAAGGGCTTTCTGTCCTGCACGTGCTGGTAACTGCAGATGCTTGGCCGGTTGGAAAGCACAATGTTCATTTAAGACAGATGCACATGTTTCTTGTTGCGGAACTTGCATTTTGGTGGTTGGGCTGTCGTAGTGAAGCGCATTGCTTTCTGGCAAGCATGCTGCAGGCTGACTTTGACAGTAAGGGAGATGAACAGACCACCAACCATCGATGTGCTTGATAGACTCGGTCGCCCCAGACCCACCCTAAACCCTAAACCCTAAACCCTAAACCCTAAACCCTGAACCCTGAACCCTAAACCGTAAAAGTCCATCCCCGGACCACGGTTCGCTCCCGAAGGCTCTCTGTCCTTTGACCGTGCGGCTGCCTCATCGCGAGCTTTGCAGGGATTGGCTGGGGTCTCCCTTGGTATGTCAATTAGGGTTTAGGGTTTAGGGTTTAGGGTTTAGGGTTTAGGGTTTAGGGTTAAGCTCGAAGTACAGGCCCCGACATGGCCTCAACGATTCGGACTTGAGCTACAAACTTCTGCAACCCTAGGGGAGAGTTGTAGAAGAAAACCCGAACGGCTGGGACACCGTGATCCTCCAGCCGCCTTTTGTTGTGCTCGGGCTGCGGCTGAAGGGAGGTACTTGTCCACCCACACAAAGTCGTGAACAATGCATGCAACCCTGAATTTCCTTGTTGAAGGAGCTTTAGGTGCCTTGACTTGGAGCATGAAAGGAAACTCACGCCAGTGACAGACTTCCAGCGAGCACGCGGGCATTGTAATCCTAACATAAGGAGATACCCTTAACATTCGGCTCAAGCTCGGTCCATCCACCCTAAACCCTAAATCTCTGCACCTGAGGTGGACGGCTCCCACGCGAAGGCCCGCGCCCCAAGTTGGCGAGCATGCAAGAGCAAGCTGGCTGAGCCACCAGCAACCTGCAGACTTGGTGTGGGGATTTAGGGTTTAGGGCTTAAGCAGAGTCTGGGTTCAAAAAAGGGTTTGGGGAAACAGGGGGTACCCTTTTGGGGATCCCTTAAGGGGATTCCGTATTATTTGGGGTATAAAAGGGGGTACCCTCTATTTTGGGAAATACCCGTATATGAGCTTGGGCATGTCCCATGTTCAAGCTTATTCTACAGCAGCCGTGCTTAGATACATTGCTTTCTAGCGCGTAGCTAGCGCGTCGCTCGCGCAATGTTACAGATCTTTATTATGGACTTTGATCCATCTTCAAGAATACTTTGGGGTTTCAAATTCAAAGCAGCTCTCAAAGACTTCGCGTTACGTAAGCAACCCTATTATATGTACCCTTTAAAGGATTATGCAGGGAACCTAATTCCCCCATTGAAACCTAAGAACCATGGGGATTGGTCGCAATTGCTCTTCAGAAACGATAGGACGGTAACCGACCCGCAGCCAAGCAGGCTCTGAAACAATCTGAAATATCTGTGCCAACATGAGGCAGCTGGAGAACCCGATGCCCCTAGACCAATAGGCCCATGTGGCACGGTGTTTCGGCCAGAGGTGGCAACATAAGCAGAAATTGCAAGCACCGACAGTAGCTGGGGATGCTCGATTTGTCGCCTGCCTTGTCCGAGTTGCACGAAAGTCGAAACTGCTAGGCATGTAGCAAACACTCTCATACACCGAAACCCAAAGTCAGGCCGTGTTTCGGACGCTTCTACAGCGACTCAGCAGGTTTGGCAGAGAGGCCTCGCTTGGGCTTTATTCAGGGATTTCCGCGAGCCCAAGTGGGGTAAGGGACTTCGGATGTGCTGCTGTGCTGCCTAGATGAGTTGGTTTGCCATGTCTGGCTACAGTACGGTCGCGAGCCCACATGCAAACAAAGCTGCTGGAGCGCATAGGGTTTAGCTTGTTGCCCTCTTCTTTCTTTCCACGGCTGCCTACCTCCCACAGAAGGCACGTGCGAGGTTTGCCCTTAGGGCAGGAGGTGGCCTCTCCCGTCGAACCATTTCGAGGCATGGTTTTCTAGGCAGACGGGGGGTTAAGTCCCGCCATCAAAGACGGCCTGGGCGCGGAGCTTCGTTGAGAAAATATGAGAAAATTTGAAGTTCGAAGTGAAGTGCGCCGATTTACCTCAATATCTCTCCTCTTGTGTAGCTGCCCGGGCAACTAGGACATTGGTGGGAGATGTGTAAAGAATTTACTGACTCGCATGGCAGGCTTTTTGGCCATCAGGGATGCAGGTTGGACTTAGGATGGGTTTGGGGCTTTGTGATCTGAGCTTTAACTTGGAGGGTGCCGGAAACATGGCCTCGGCTGCAAGACCAAACGTAGATGAATCACCTGTGGAGCAACAAGGTCATCGAAACACGGCATGCAAGTTGTGCTGGGACGCTCGCCATGCATGGGTCGAAATGCACCAGCAACTCCAGCGCGAACTCGGAAGATAGATGCCTACAGGAACCCATACTCCTCCCTCCGGAATGCGATAGTAATGATAGTAATGTCATCCTTTGCACCAACGGCTACAGCCCAGCTGTACCAGCTAAGCCGACACATATTGTGACTTGGCAGGAGTCAGAAGCCCTGAGCAGAGACCGAATCGCCAGACTTCCTTGAAAACCTAGCGAGAGACATGTCTCGAAGCTCGAGCTCAAGCTTCGTTGAGTTGTTTCGACATGTAGCCATCTGATATAGAAGAACAATATGTACACACATATGTGTAATTTGATATATATATATATGTGCACTGTTATGGAAGATATCCAGCTTTCGGCTTTTAGGCAGGAACGGCATGGTTAAGCGGCATAGTTTAGCCTGTGGTTGAAGAAGCTCCGCCGGTTTTTGAACCTGGGTTTTTAGTTCTGCGTTGAGATGCTGCAGGTATCGGCCGGCGTACTCGCTGAGGCGCCATATTCAAAGATGTTTGCTGCAACATGGTGCTTTACCTTGCTTACCTTTCCTTCATCCTAGTTCCCCACCTGATATCCGACCTTTGTTGCCATCCTGCCTTGATACCCGTGGCTCACTGCTGGCCCCACGATGACGTGCCCATGCACACGCCAGTGCACTGCAGTGATTGCATCGCATCATTCGACTTGCAGTTCAGGCGATGTCTCTCGGCTGAGGCTGCGCCCGAAGATGTTGCTCGACGGATGTAAAAAGGTTAAGGCAAGAATGGCTGATAGGATGGATATCTTGTGCTCTGGGATAGTATGGCTAAACCCTTTTAGGGTGTCAGATAAGAGTGCTGTGGGGAATCCCCAACCCTGAGCCCTCAACACTCAATTCTATGCAACATGTTTAGCACCTTTCGTTCTTTAACATCCGTTTGTCACTTTCGAACAGTTCCTAAATCCCATTGAAGATTGTATTTTCCATATTCATGCTTTTCTTCTGTTTGCTTGTTTCGCTGTTCGAATTTGCAAGATGTTTAGCACGTTTCGTTCTTTAACATCCATTTGTCACTTTCAAACAGTTCCTGAATCCCATTGAAACCCTATTTCAAGACTGTATTTTCGATCTTCACTCGGAAAGAAACCGGTCGCGTGGTTCTGCGGTTGGTGCGGAACAGATCGAGCCGAACATTGACGAATTTGGTCCGCAGCGTTGTCCGGCCTGGCACGACCGTCGAATGGCGTGGCTATAATGGGCTCAGCAAGGCAGGGTACAAACATGAGAAGGTCAACCACAGCCTTAACCAGAAGGTCAATGCAATCCTGTGGAAGGCCTACCGGATGCCTTCGCGCAAAAACTATGGGTTGCTGCTTGCAGAGTATTGCTGGCGACGCAGTGTCTTGGGGGGACCAGACCTTGCCCCCCAGACAATGGCCGAAAGCAGCTTTCTGGCGTTTGTTGGCGACCATGAAGGAGGTAGTTCTGCGAGATTACCTGGTCAGGCGAGCTTCCTACAAGCAAGAGGCAGGATGGCCAGATTTAAGGGCTTGCTATTGCTCAAGCATTCGCAGAAGCGTGAGAGCGGTTTCAGAGACTAAGACACGGTCAAGCAGAGCATGCATCGTGGTAGGAATTGGGTTTGGGCGCATCCTCTGTCATGCTATGAAGTTTAGATTGAAACCCTAAACTAAGTGAGGCGTCGCTTCCGTCGAGCGACAGACCCCGAATGCTCGGCCGAGGGCCTTACAGCCCGAGCGCCCAAGCGAAAAGAGAAACGAAAAGGTGAGGGTTAAGCCTCACCGTCTGTCCTGCACAGGCCAACGGACATCGGCCTTTTATAGGACAACGTCAGTTCTCGGCTAAGGGATGGAGGGATGGCCGTACCCAGACCACCCTTAGCGTAGCTAAGAGCCCCGGGGGGCCAGGGCCAACGGCAGGCCAACCTTTTGCAGGCAGGGGCAGGAAGGCCCGACCAAGTAGGGCCTCCTTCAAGGAAATAAAGGCCTCTTTCAGCTTTCTAAAGGGTTTCCCTGACCTTCAAATAAAGAAGGGCCTCTACGGGCCCTGACACGCCGAAGGCCCGAAAAGGGCCGAGGCTACCCGAACTCCAGCTTAAATCCTAGCACCGCAACTTAAAAACATAGAAGCAAGCATCTGTGCACAAGAAAATCAGTTCAATAAACCCTAAACTGCAATAGAGTATAGTTTGGGTGGCCGGGGTGGGTGGACGAGCAACGCGAGCGCGCGGCACAGGGTGTTTCACACCTGAGCGCGCGCCCTCCCTGACACACCCTCAACCCTAAACCCTAAACCTCCACAGGACGGATCCTTGCTGACGGAGGAGCCCTGGGAGGGCAAAGAGTCCGACCGGATTGATTTCGGGAAATTCGTCCCGAAAGATGTCCGGCGGACCGGGCACGACACCGCAGTGACACCAGAAAACGTTTACTGTGCGCCATATTACCGCAGTAACGTCGAATAGTCTTTGGTGGAAGAGGACTCGGCCCAAGCTGGGTTTGCCCGGGTTTTGCCCATGGAGGATCCAGACTTTTCGATGAAGGCTACGAGCCCACTGGCCAACAAGGGCGACCCCCATCAAGGCGAGGCAGGGGGCGGGGCGGGATGCGTGGCCGGCGATGGTCCCGACCACTCAGGGGGGAAGTATCTGGCCGACGGTCTCGACCACTGCGGGGGTGAAGCAGCAGTTCTTTTGGATCTTGACTTCCCGGATCCCTTCGCCGATTTCTTTGAGCCCGAGAAGTCAGACAAGCACCAAGCCGGAAATTTGGATTTCGAGGTCCTTCCCCACGTGCTTGCCTTTACCGCGCCCTTCTCCTCGGGGCACAGATCCGTTCAGGAGTAGCACGTGGCAGGCTTCAGGCTTGGTGTTAACAAATTTCGAGTTGGATAAGGAAGCATGCCCGCTTACACTATATAAGAGTGACAGGACCCCATGCACGCCGTGCAAGAGCTCAGGGAGGATGCTTGTGACGCTATGCGCAGCTGGACACCCCAAGAGCGGTTCAACCAGGTCACACAATCCTTGGCGTGGGATGCCCATCAGGATTATTTGCACGTGCAGGGGCTTGCGTTGCATCTTCACACGTTTGCAGCTGACAAAAGTACATGCTCAGCAACCTAAGGAAATGCAGGACGACCCTGCTTGGGTGGAGACTTATGGGCAACATTTCTCCTGGCATGAATATTGGTCCTGGGCAAAGAAACCCGGAACATATGGAACCTTTGCCAATATCTCCTCCTTCTGCCGTATGCGCGACATTTCCGTAGATGTATACGCCCAACAAGCCAGTCGGAAAGTTTGCATTTGGCAAGAAAGGGCCAATGCGGATGATACAACGGCAGGCCCCATTTGCTTGCTGCGAACTGTAATCATTTTGATTTGCTGGTCCGGCATTGATAGGACTCCTTCGCACCAATCGTTTCATCCAGAGGGAAAATATAATTGCAGAACTAGTGCAGAACACATTTAATGAATTTTCAAACTCCTCGACCCTTAAGCCCTAAGCCTTCAACCCCAAACCCCGAAGCTTCAAGTGGAGGCCTAAAAGCCCTGTACCCTTAGGCCCTAAATCCCAAATCCGAAGCTTCAAATGAAAGTCTATAATTCTGTATTCAAAACCCTAAAGTCCGAAGCTTCAAATGGAGGGTCAAAAACCCTATAGGGCAAACCCTGAAATCCCCTCTTCCTCCCCAAGCCAAACCAAACCAAAACTGACTATAATCGCAAATTATTCGCGCAAGGCCCTCATGGGAAATCGAAGGTCCTCATGGCCAGGCGTTTATTGGGTCTCAAGGTAGGATAGGTTGTATTCGGGGCTGCAGGGGGAGCGCCCGAGTGCACGGGAGCAGCAGTATTCACAGAGTCAGGAACATCAGAGTGGGACTGCAGTTCAAGCTTGACACTCGGCATTGGCCTTGTGCCTTCTTCAATTTAGACTAGATGATGCTTGATTCCCGGGTCTTAATGAATGGTTGAGTCTAGAGAGCTTGCTAACCAGGCTTCTACAAGTTCGCCACCTATCTTTCGAGGACTTCTATGGCAATTTGGTGATTACGTTTTTTTCATATCAGCTCGTAGCTGATATATATTATTACACAACACTCTCATCTAATATTTA